GCAGGAAGATAGAGAAGACATAAATATTGTGTATCCGGGCCAGTCTGTTGCTTCAACTTCAATGCTTGACAGTGGCAATTTTGTACTGTACGATTCATCTCGAAGGATCGCATGGCAGAGTTTTGATCACCCGACGGACACTCTTTTGCCTAACCAAAGTCTCTCAGCTGGAGAAGAGATCTTCTCCAGTGTTTCGAAAACGAACCCTGCCAGAGGAATTTTCCGTCTCAAGATGCAAAATGATGGGAACCTGGTGCAATACCCTGTGGAAACTCCAGACACAGCTCCTTATGCTTACTATCCATCATACGGCGATGGAGGCAATAATGTATCATTGAATCTTGATATTATTGGCAATCTTTATATGTTCAATGGAAGCTCCGTTATAAAAAGTTTAAATGTAGGACTATATCGAACAAGAACTATCTACCGCATGAGAATTGACGTGGATGGTATTGTTCGACTCTATTATCGATCGTTGGATCCTCAAGGTAAGTGGACTAAACAATGGTCAACAACAGAAGATAAATGTGCCCCAAAGGGTTTATGTGGGTTGAATGGTTATTGTATTCTGATGGATGAAGATGCAGTATGTAACTGTCTTCCAGGATTCGACCAAGTTAATCCTAGCAGTTGGAGCTCTGGATGCCAAAGGAGTTTATCCATGGAAGGTTGTAAGGCCAAGGATCAAAATGTCAGTTATGAAATCATTCCATTGGATAACATAATGTGGGAAGATGTTAATTATGTTGTTTTAAAAGGAATGACTATTGACGAATGTAAGAAAGCCTATTTAGATGACTGCAATTGCGATGCGGCTCTCTTCCTTGAAGGTGGAGACTGCAGAAAGCAAAGACTTCCATTAAGATATGGAAGAAGATCACCGAGTAATTCAGGCGTTGCTCTTATCAAGGTGAGCAAATCAACACCATCATCGACTGAAGGAGTTCTGGGTAATTCGGGCAAAGAGATTCGTTTAGACATCTTAATCGTCAGCATTTCACTTGTTGCTTTGGCTGCCTTGATCTTGGCATTTACTGGGATTTATGTCCACAGAAATCGTGTTGGGAGATATAAGAAGATCTTTAAGTTGGGAAATGTTGAACTAATGGAGGATGTTGGTTTGCGGGAATTTACCTATCAAGAACTCGTGCAAGCAACAAATGAATTCAAAGAAGAGCTCGGTAGAGGAGCATCTGCCACAGTTTACAAAGGGATCTTATCGAACAACGGAAATGTTGTGGCTGTGAAGAGGCTTGAGAAAGAATTGGTAGAAGGAGAAATAAAATTCCAGACTGAGATGAAGGTGATAGGAAAAATATATCATCGTAATCTCGTCCGACTTCTTGGTTACTGCCTCGAAGGATCAAAGTGGCTTTTGGTATATGAATACATGAAAAATGGAACACTTGCAAATATACTTTTCAATCCCGAAAACCGACTATATTGGGAAGAAAGAATTCGAATTGCTCTTGATATTGCAAGAGGCATCCTCTATTTGCATGAGGAATGTGAGACGCAGATCATTCATTGTGATATAAAACCACAAAACATACTCATGGATGAGCATAGGTGTGCAAAAATTTCCGACTTCGGACTGGCAAAGCTCTTAAAGAAAGATCAGACAAACACCTATACAGTGATAAGAGAAACTCGGGGTTATATAGCCCCAGAGTGGCACAAGAAATTGCCTGTGACAGTTAAAGCAGATGTTTACAGCTTTGGAATTGTTCTACTAGAGATCATATGTGGTAGAAAAAGTGTTGATTGGAGCTTGTCTGAAGATGAAGCTATTCTTGATGAATGGGTCTACCAGTGTCTCCAGGAAGGCGGGACAAGTAAACTGGTGTGAGATGAGGACGTCGACAAGAGAAAATTTGAGAGAATGATTAAAATTGGTATATGGTGCATCCAAAATGAACCATCTCTCCGTCCATCGAAGAAGAAAGTTTTATTGATGTTGGAAGGGACTGTAGACATCCCAGTACCTCCAAGTCCTACTTCTTTCCTAAGTGCCATATAGTTTTGCTGATGCTGGACCGTACACATCTCAAGTTTTCTTGAATATTAAATAAAACAGTCAATTAAATTATGTTTTCTTTAATTTTAGGATTTCTTTCTGGTTCTGAAGTATTGATTTTGAAGCTTTAGTCAACTGTTTATTCACTCTGTTTCCTAAGGACTAAAATATAATACACACGTACATGGGCTAGTCTCAGTTATGATTTACTAGTAGATGGCTACAACGCTTTTATCTTTCAAGTGACACGAACTTCTCGCAAGTTTTTTGTATGGAGAGATTCCAGTGGAATTGACAAAATTGCACGGCCTCCTGATTTTAAATTTATCAAGAGATCAAATCAATGACCAAATCCCAGAAAGCATTTCCAGCTTACGCAAATTGCTATCTCTTGATCTTTCAAGTAATAAGCTCTATGGTCCTATTCCATCGAGCATAACTTCATTATCATTTCTGAGTTATCTCAATTTGTCGAACAACAATTTATCAGGTAAGATCCCTGAATCTGGCCAGATGTCAACATTTGATTATTATTTTTATAATAGTGACTATTTAAGCCAAATTTCTTGTAATTTTTCATATCGATTCGTATTGATACAAGAACTATGCTATGTGTACACAATAGTGTACACAAAGCATTACACCCCCTCACATGGAGGAGGGCTCACATACAATAAAATATTCATGAGCCCCCTTTCATGTGAGGGGGTGTATTTTATTGTATACACATAGAATAATCCTTGATAGAAACTTCGTAGAATTGAAAAAATTAAATTATAAAAAATAAATTGCTCCATCAAAGCTAAATGAACAATAAAATGAAGTCAATCCACTTATTTTGAACCTAGATTATCACAATATTGACTACAAGTGAAAGGGAAAATATGACAAACTTTACAATACTCTTATCTCAAACAAGAGCGAAGCCAAAAGGGGATCAGCCCAATATATACACACCCACACACATTGGACTGAAACATTGGGAGACAAAACTAACTGGGCCTCCGGATCACGAATGCTTTTAAAGCATTAAGATGAATTTGATAGTGTTAAAAAGTTTGTGGAAATTACGAACCTTAAAAATTCAACATTCTAAAATCAGAGTGAAATTTTCACAATTCAAAAATCAGATTTTTTTTATATTAATTATTTAAATTAGGAAAATCAAAACCCTACCCAATACCCAAACCCATAATTCTCCTCCCCCTCCCTACCCAATTTCTCTCTCTACACCGTTTCTTTCTACATTCTCTCTGTCGGCGCCGGGAAAACATCTTAGTGATGGGTGTTAGTGGCGGCTACAACTAGTGACGAAGGAGATGCGCAGTACCAAGATGGGGAGTCGACATTCATGCTACCGCTCTCTCTCTTTTCAATCTGCACTTCGGGGATTTTTTTTTGTGGTGCTAGTGAAGTGTTGATGGTAGTGGTGGTTGTTGACGATGGTGATGTGACGCTATAGATCTAGGCATGATACAGGCGATAGTCTGGTGTGCTGTTTGTGGTGGTATGTGCGGTGGTGTTTTTTGGTTCAGTGTGGTAATGGTGGTGTTGCAATAATGATGGAGATGACGGCGCCGTGGTAGCTGTGGTGACTGGTGATGCGTTGTTAATCTGGTGGTGTGGTGCGATGGTGGCACAGATAGTTGATTGCGGGTGTGGTTTAGTAGTTGTGGTGGTTTTGGTTGTTAAGGGTGTGATGGTGATGGCTTCCATGTTTTGAGGGGGCGGTGGTGATAGACGACGGTGGTCATGGCAATGGATGCGACGGTGACAATGAGATGTTGGTAGCCGTGGTCTGTTGAGGTGGATGTATTGATTTTGTTTGAGACAGTGGTGGTGTTGTCGAGTGATAGTAGTAGTTCTAGTGATAATGGTGGGCGTGGCCGCATCCGTGGCGAAAGTGCTGTTGGAGGTAGTAGTTGTTTGATGGTGGTCACAGATTAATTAATTAATTGTGACCATTAAATCGATTCATCTATGATCAATAAACAATGTGACCAATAAAAAAGAGAAATTGTGATAAAAAAATAACGTATGACCTAAAAAGTTAATAATTTGTGACGTTTAATAAGTTATGACCTATAATATTTCTGATCTATGATGTATAAATTTTTAATCTGTGACCGATTAACAAATTGTGACCTACAAAATTTTTAAATTATAACCGTAAAATAATTTGAGACATTAAAAAATTCCGATTTGTGACCCAAAAATAATACATGACTAATTAAATTGTAAATCTTTAACCTTAATATATTTAATTAATAAAACATATATTTAATTAATTAAATTATAAATAATTTTTAATGAATATCTGATTTTCGAAATTGGCAATAGTTATCATCTTATGAAATTTTCCCAAAGAGTTTTCAGGAAGAAAATAAGCCCCCTTGTCATGAAACAACTTTGAAAATTCACTCATTTGGATTGTATATTAGTCCCTCGAGCCAATAAAATTGGCTAAACAATTATAAGATTCTGGCGTGATTTTGAAACATTTACAAGGAGAACCTGTAATGCCCTTGCCACTGTTGCTGGGGGAAATCAGATGAATGCATTTTTACAAGGGCAATTCAATCTTTCCAGCATGTCAAGGGTAAAAAATAATGAGGAAAAATAGACATGGTAAACTATCAGTGATGAAATAATAGAACACCAGATACCACCTTGTGGACACAATCAGAAAAATAATTTGGTTGATTACTCACTAGAATAGTGATAATGAAAAAAGAAAGATTCAGAAATTCAGTAATTCACCAGTCAGATGAAACTCAACTTCTCTTTGCATATTCACTAGGTTTAAATATATTTCTAGTCCCCAACCCAATGCCTCTTCAACTTTTCTATGTTTCTTACCTGAGGCTAGTCTTTATAAGGTTATATGCCCAGAAATCATTTCCAGGTTTTTATCCCAACCAGTCATATATAAGACATTATATTTAACTCAATTCTGTCTACTCTTCAGACCAAAAGGCAATTCTTCAAACGCTGTCCTACGTAGTAAACTTTTGCCGAATTAACTTATCCAATATGTACAAATATGTATTCAGAATTTCTCTAAAAGACAAAACTGAGAGCAAATGAAAAATGAGGATTGTTTAAACAAATTCAAAATTGTGAGTTACTAAGAAAAGTAACCATACATCTCGTACTCTGGAACAAGGTATCAACTTTTTGCCATACTGTTGACTGAAGTTCTAGAAGCTTCCATGCTTTATCCTGCAACCCTGACTGGCACCGAATAGTTTCACCATGAATCTGGTCAGCACAAAAACCAAGGATTAAACAGAACTCCAGAGTACAGTTCATCAAATGAAGAAAAACTGGAAGATCAATTGGAAATATAGCTATTTCCAAAAGAAGTCTTCATGACCTAGACCATGTTTTATGGTAAATTGGATCGTGCAGTACTGTATACAATTAAATAAGATCGAGAAGTTAAAACCTTGTCTATTGTAGTGTTCAATCTAGTTCAATACTCACCAAACAAGCTCAAAAGGTTCAGAGTTTACATTTTTAGTCTTCGGATGCCATCATTACAACTTAGAATATATTACTATTATTGAGTGTGAAAGGCTTCATGTGATGCAAATAAAGATATCCAAAGCAAGGAAAATGAGTAAATTTGCACCTTTAAAAATAATCTGATTACAGCCTGGATAAACTCAAAATTGTTTCTGCAAGATATCTCATGTATAAAATAATCCAGTAGAAGTTCGATGAAGTACAGTTCTGGTCTCTTCTCAGTTTCTAGCTCATCGTGGTCATCTATAATCTGAAGCATCCTTAGTTCCACATCCAAAGCGGAAGAAGATAAACCTTTGATATAATTAGTAAATGCAGCAACTGCAAACAGCCATTCTCGTGTAAATATAGCCAAACATTTATTTCATAATGTATTAGGATGTTTAGCAATCAAACTAAGACAATCAAAGTCAAATGCAAATTTAATGAGACAACTTACAGTTATTTTCCTCTGAAGACTGGAGGAAATGCAAGAACTGGGAAACTGTGTTATCAGTTTTTTTCCTTTTCTTGTCAGTTTCACCAGCTTGTGCATCCATCTTTTCATCTGCAGATTGTCTAGAGTTAAATAATATCTCTCCCGAGAGAGAAGGAATCGATGGAAGGAAAAAAGGAGCCTTTTCAGGTTTCTTTGGAGGTTCAATAGGTTTGTTCCGGGCCTTTATAATATCCAGATTGATCAAGCTTTGCCACTGACTCCTGGGCAAGAGCGAAAGTGTGACTAGATCAGGAATTTGCTGATCTAATATCAAGTGAGAAGCGTCTTCGTCTTGTGGAGGGTTTGCATTGACCTTTTCAAAATTGTTATCTATAGAATCTTCTGCAGAAGAAACAGATGGTAGCTTAACACTCACAATTTCCTTCCCACTCCCATGGGAAACATTGCTAGAAGTGCTAGAAAACATTGCCCGATTAACCCACAGATAAACCCCATTTTGATCCACATGAGTTGTTGCTAAAACATCCATATTCGGTGACAGAGATAATGCAGTTATAGACACGTCAACGGATATAGCATCTATTTGTTTAGCAAGAATTACATCCCAAATCCTAAAAGTCCCATCCATACTGGATGATAAAAGCCATTTGCCATCCTCACTGAAGCACATATCTGTTATACGATCAGTATGACCTTCAAATTTCCTAACCATCCTCAACGCCACGGCATCAAACAAACAGATTACCAAGTCATCTGCCACAGTAGCCAAAAGGCCATTAGAACGATGATATATTATCTTAACCAGTGAACAACCTATTTCCCACCTCGATTTCATTTCGCGAGTCTTAAAATCCCAAACTTTTACATCCCCATGGAATCCAGCACTTATCATAATGGTATTTGTAGAATCACAGGCAATACCAATCACTTCCCCATCATGAGCACAGGTTTTTCTCACAAACTTATCAATGTAGCTTCCTCGACTGATTCCTGACTGAAGATTAAAACGCTCAATCCAACCACCTGCTGTCCCTAAAACTGCAAAATTGCCACAAACACTGATGGCACAGGATTTAATGGGAGTTGGATTCTCTACACGTGGGGTTAGGATGTGCTCACCAATAATAAAATTTTGAAGCCTCCATACGTACGCTTGAGAAGTATCCATATGGCATGTAACCACATTGCACCAATCACGTTCCCGGATTTCAGCAACATCAAATGCAATTACTGGCTTCAGCTTTATTTCTGTTTCCTTCAGCCTGAGTTTTTTTGCTCTTTTAGATACATGGCGTTGAGAAAGTTCTCTACTTTGCTGATCCTGGACGACAGAGAAAAGACGAAAGGCACGGTCCTGGCCAGCAGATAGGATGTGCCGTCCATTAGCATAGTACCTGATGCAGAGAGGAGGAGCACTGTGCCCACTTCTAAATTGCAACAGACGAGGATCCCCATCACTCGTATCAAAGATCCACATTTTGATAGAATTATCTGCTGACGAACTCATAAGCACAGGCTCATTAGCAAAGAAGTGAAGTGAAACTACTGAGCAGTCATGGGCGTCTCTAATGACAGACTGAAGCTTCCTTTTCTCAAGATTCCATACACTTATTACTCCAGATGTACCACCAGATGCTAAAAGGGGCTGCCCATCAGTGCTGAAAGACAAAGCAGTCACAGAACCTCTAGTAGAATGAGTGAATGTCACAATCTCTTCATCATAACGAATGTTGTGAACATGAATTTTTCCATTGGAACAGCCAACGGCAACAACATCCAGTGCAGGCGACGAAATGCAGCAACATATGGTCGACGTCCACCCCTTGAACTCATAAAGCTTTTTCTTGGTGCTAATGTTCCAAAGTTGCAAGGAACCATCCTGACTTCCAACAATTACCTGTTTCCGTACATCGGAGAATATACAGCAATTAGCAAGGAGATATTTGTACTTGAATTCATCAATCAAGCGTTAAAGGAGTCTAAAATGATACCTTGTTTAAATAAGTATCGGGATGCATTATGCAACTTGGACGGTTATTTTCTAGCAAAATATGAACAGTAGGAGCAATATTCTGGTCCATTCCTTTAAATGCCCAAATAAACATATTGCCTTCAATGTCAACACTCAAAACATGTTCGCCAAAAAGAAGCAGGTGATTAACCTTGGAATTGTGGCTGCTCCAAGTAGCCACCTGTTCAAGCATGAGTGTCATCGTTTTTAAGCAAAGAAAACTATCATAACTTAGTCAAAAACTAGTTACTATGGTCATTAATCAAGAAATATTAGAACGTTCTTTGTGGATATCTTATTCTTCTGGCCAAGAAAAACAAGAATAGTCATTGGATCCTTGATATGAATGGTTTTTTGATCCTAAGAAGGTATATACATGTAATCCCACAAAAGGATGAATCACTAGTTTGAAACAGCTTAAACATAAAAGTAAAGAAGATAAAACTACACGAGGCTCAGACATGTAGATGTGTCGTGAATACAGATTCTACTACAAAAACAAAATAACTAAAGGGTTCTCTTGTACTCTATGCTACTCTTTTCTTAGTGAAATTTATTTGATCAAAGCAGAATTGCTGAAAGCATTGTGATCAGTAGCCCTGATATGTTCGAGTGACCCATTGTAGGAAGTATTTTATCAGGAACAAACCTGATGAGCACGCTTAAAAACTGCAATGTTATGGCCATATGCCGCAAATGTGTAGTCTCGATAAGAGGCAAGAGCTCGTATCTTCTTTGGCAGTTGAGAACCTGAATCAAAACTTTGATATTTGGTTCCACAACTCAACTGAATGGTAAAAGCTACCATGCACAAATATTCACTTTCTACTCAACGGGATAGTCTAAATTACAATACTACCACATGTACTGTGAAATGTATTTAAAAAAAAAAATCATATTTTATGTTAAATATTATTATCTGTCATCAAGGCTCCCATGAAATATTAGAAAACTTAAAAAATGTATACTACATGATTCTAGAGAACTCCCATATCCTTCACCTTCATTTTAACAAATGAAATTACTCTATCCACTATAGTAAATATGCACATCATACATTCCAACTTCAATTTTTTATTTTCTTCCTTCAAAAAATATCTATTCAGTTATTGTGGGCGGGTTAAAATGACAAATATATATAGTATTTAAAAAACTTCAAAGACGTGTTATTTATATTCAGTCCAAACATACTAAACCCAGAAAGGAAAAGAACCTTCATCTCCCCTTACATAAATTAACCCCAGAAAGTATGAATAAAGCACACTGATAAATTTCCTACAAACAATGGGAAATAAAAAGCAGCAGAAAGCTTACCAACAAGGACTAAATTCAGCTTGGCACACTGGTGAGAAGAAATATTTACAAAATGTTAGACAATTTAAATGAAACATGATAAATGAGTGGCGCTGTAAAGAAAATAAGAAAGAACTGTACGTCATAAATTTGGAAGGCTTTGCCAACGCTGACGGTGACAAAGGCTTCAGTGCCTAGACGTTGTACAGAGAAGGGTACATTTGTTGTTATGTAACCGATAGCTCGGAACGGTTCAAATATTCCCATTCTGAACAAGGGCTGATCCAAGAATTTAGGACACGGTGGCTGAAATTTACAAAAGTCAATATAATATATGCATACATGTGACATTAATCTGTATCTATCTTCACATCAAATTCTTAAAAATCGCAAACAAAAAAATCATCAGTGGTCCATTACTACAATGATAATTTAAAAATAATTCATTAAGTTGATAAGGCAACAATAATTCAGTAATTTGCTGACAAGGTAACAACATTCATTATTTTGTTGACAAGACAATAGCATTCATTATTTTGCCAACAATGCAACAATAATTCATTATTTTGGCTGACAAGGCAACAAATAGTGAGATGAGGGCATTAACTTACCAAGGGAAGTAGATTGCAACTTCTTGAATTGTACCTTCTAAAATGATATGGAAGCCAAGAAGCAAACAATATTATTGCAAAATCAAGCTGCAATTATAGACTAGAATTAGTGTGCTTCTTTGAAAGAATCTAAGCATAGGATTTCTAAACCCAGAATATAATATGTTTTGGTGTTGTTCAAAACCAAATGCACAAGGCTGACAAATTGCATAGAGGAATCATATAATATGAACAGAATCTACTAAATGAACATAATGAAGCTACTGATACATTTTAGTTGTCAATTCCTTAGTTAGGAAGTTCACACAGTTAGTTTGCATCGAAATAACCTGATATTTCACTCTATAATTACAATATAGCCTATCAATCTTAAATTAACAATTGAGTATAATACGTCAGTCAACAAAAATTACGCATTCTAGTCTCATTATTCAAATGTTGTACTTTGCCATTTACTAATTAAAATCTCCCTCATTTAAAGCAAGTCTAAAAAACCTGATCTTCCACTACAAATGCAAACTCACTGATCCAAAGGTCGTATTTTGCCATTTACTAATTAGAATTTCCAACATTGAAGGTAAGTCTTATGAAAAACCTGATCTTCCACTACAAATGCAGCATAACCTAGTAATTCCAAGGGTGGAGCTAGAATATGGTTTAGTACGGGTGATGTAGGATCAATATACTGATCAAGAAATAACCACAATTAGAAAGATAGGAAGAAATAGGCAGCAAGAAAGGGGGAGGAATGTAGAGAATGGAGGGAGAAGATTGGGGGAGAAGAGAACAAGAGGGGAAGGCGAGAGAGAGAAAGCAATGCTATTTTTCATTCAAATCATCATCTTCATCAACTGAGTTTTTCCAGATTAATTAAAACCCTTTAAATAGAAGAAAACTACCCTAAAGCATCAGAGCTTGGACCCAACCCATATACAAGCCCAATAAAATAAAAAAACATCAATAAATAAAATAAGAAGTAAAATAATCGGACCGATGTCTACATCAACTCTCCTGGGGTGGGAGAAAAAACTCGACCCTGTCGAGTGGTTGAGCTACCACGAGGGACGATCTTTTTAATGACCCAAGTATCAAAATTCAACAGTTGATAACATTGAAAGCTGCAGCTTATCCTCAAAACTGTTATCCACCCAAGGAGGACGATTTCTCTTTTTAATCAAATATCGATATTGATCTCCAAATAGTAAACTCTCATGCAGCTCATCTCCAAAATAAAAGTCAAACAATGCTCCAATCGCAATTTTCAAATTGGCACGAGCTATGGTGACAAAGCTATTAATCAACATAATAAAAAGATCGCTTGTGAATAATGATAAAAATTTCTCTTCTTTTTTTCCTTTTTCTTTTTTTCACTTTTGTTTCTTTTCCCCTTTTTTTTTTAACCTACACTTTTACTAGGCCCAAAATAATAACTAAGGCTGAGCCCAACTGAAAATCATATATTGAATCTGCAATACAAATGCCAAAATACTAGGGCAAAGCCCAATTTTGAAAATCAAATACTCCTTGCAATTGCTAGCCTAATTTGTCGATCCTTATTCACCTCTGGGAATATTGTGGCTCAATGGTGATGAGTCGGTGATTGCGGGGATGACGGGTGGTTGGATGCCACAATTAGAGGCAACAATCATGAGGTGGTTTAATCTCTGGGTTCCGGTGAATGTTAGTGGCGGTTGGGTGGTTTGGGTCGATAATGAAGTCCGTTGCGAAGGCTGAAATAGATGTAGAGGAGGCAACGTCTAGTAATTTTGGGAGGCGGTTTGAGGATTAGAGGTTGCTAGATGAAGACGTGGGGTAAGTGGAGTCGGTTATTTTGTTATGGCAGCTCCTATGAGGTCATGCATAAGGCGGTTATCGTTTGTGGTATAATTTTTTATTTTTTTTTTTGGACAATTGATTTTGAGAAGGAGATGGCTGGGTAAGCAACTAAGATTTCAGGTTGCAGTGAATGACAAACTGGTAGAGGTAAATTTCAGGTATAATAGGTTACTCAGTAGCATTTTTTTTTCTTTCTTTTTTTTTTTTTTTTTTTTTTTTTTTTTTTTTTTTTTTTTTTTTTTTTTTTGATGAAGATATCACTGGGAGTAATTGGACAATAGTTTTGAGTAGTGCAATGGGTTGGTTGTTGAACAGCGGTGTTTGGTTGTTATGATCGACTGGATATGGATGGAGTGCAATTGGCGACTTGTTTGGTATAGTAGAATAAGATGTTGTAGACCGGAGAAGATGCTGGGAAGTTGTTCTGTTTGATTGTTGACCCAGGTTTGGCTCTGATACTACTTTGATGTAGGACCAATATACTGATTAAGAAATAACCACAGTTAGAAGGATAGGAAGAAATAGGCAGCAAGAAAGGTGGAGGAATGGAGAGAATGGAGGAAGAAGACCGGAGGAGAAGAGAACAAGAGGGGAAGGCATGAGAGAGAGAGCAATGCTATTTTTCATTCAAATTATCATCTTCATCAACTGAGTTTTTCCAGATTAATTACAACCCTTTAAATAGAAGAAAATTACCCTAAAGCATCAGGACTTGGGCCCAACCCATATACAAGCCCAATAAAATAAAAAGACATCAATAAATAAAATAAAAAGTAAAATAATCGGACCGATGTCTGCATCAACGGGCACAATTTAATCAATGCCAGAGTTTTTGACCATGGATTTAATGATGATAAAATATAAAATAATATTATGATAATTTTAAAAATATCATAGTTTATAAATTATACGTGTTCCTTGTGAGTTTTCATACTTTGATATCGTTATTACACCGGTTTTTGTTCTCCTTTTTCAAGGTTTGCTTTTTTTGAACTTAAGTACTAGGATCCAGAGGAGACGATTTCAGCTTGTTTACATGATTCTGTGTCTTGAGTGATTTTGGAAGAAAAAGGAGAGGGGCAATACCAGAATCCCTCTGGGGTCACAGCAATTGGAACATTTATAATCTCAGTTTGACCCTCTTCTACTCTAATTTCAGCAAAAAATTCAACCCCTAATTCCATTTTTGGCTCTTACAAAAGAAGAAAAGAATGTGAAAGAATTTCAACAGACATTTACTTCTACCCAAATTAAACAACTCCTCTGTCGTCGATTAAGATAAAGAAATAAAGGTCTAATTTTGAATTTAAACATCGTCCTCTAACAGAAACTCTGTAGTTGACGGAGATATATATGGAGAAAAAGTTCATACCAAATTTAAATTCAGATCCCAGAAGCAAACATAAAGTGCTCTCCACAACACTTGAAGAAAAAGGAAAAACATAATCTTTATGACCAATAACGCAGATATTCAAAAATCAGAAAAACCCAAAACGACAACTGGTACAAGAAAAAGGTAAATACCAAACATAATTCTTCAAAAATGTACTTCAAATTTCCTACAACTAGCTCAAAATATCAATCCACGGAATTTAATCTACCCATTATAATGGAATTCTAAGAAACCCCAGAAAAGGCACTATGACGAACCAACAAAGGCGAAGTCTGAGAGGGCGATCATAAAACCCAAAAAGACGAGAGCAGCAAGTGGCCCGGTGGTCGGTAATGGAAGGCGGCGAGACGGAGAGACGATAGTCGTCAGTCGCGAAGAGCTGGGCGCAGTAAAACTTGCGGTTTGTAACGTGTGCCATTTGCGCCTTTTTGTCTTGGGCCAAAACTTTTTAAAAAATGAGGGGAATTTAGGTAAATACACTTAAAATTCGTACCATTTTGATACTAGCATTAAAGTGCTGGCATATCACTAATCACGTTCTAATTAACTGTATTTTTTTAATAGTTAACAAGCATATAAATAACAACTATACTACACTAACACAATGAGAATGACAGACTCGCTTACCAAACAATCACAATAGGAGTGGAGGCTAATTTTTTTGGGAATTTTTTATTCACACGGATCCCAACACCATATGAGAGGATGTCTAATCGCATGTCATCCTTTTTCTGTCAAACTAGTTTAAGCCCTTGTTTGAGCGCCGTTTTTGTCAAAAAAAAATACATTTTTAAATAATATATTGATGAAAAATATATGATTAAAAAATAAATCACTGTTAAGAAATGAATTTTAATGAAAAATGGGGCTCAAACAAGAGTTAAATCTATAAATAAATGCCTCAACGCGAAGAATAATCAATATCCTAAAATTCAACACCTAGACTAGACTGGAGAAGAATAATCCACATCCCAATAAGTTCATCCCTTTGAAAAAGAAACCTGCGACATGTTCTTCCACAAGTTCAGTCACAGAGTTCATTTTACCAAAATCCTGCTCCCCTTACAATGATAAACCTAGATCTTTTATATATAAGAATCTAAGGAAATTTAGGTATAAAAATAAAATAAATTTCTATTCGAAATTCGAATTTAACAGATGCAGAAGTCGAAAATAAATTCGTAATGATTTTACATATTCGTAGTTGATTGAGGATTTCATCTGTTAGCAAAATGACGAATTCGTTCTTCGTTGTTTAAAAAATGGAGATTTGTGCTAGCAAAAGGCCCAAATATAGAAATTTGAAAAGTGCATCATAAGCCCTTATTTGGCTCGAAAAGGATAGATTAAAAAGGTTTAAGAAATGGTTAAATTCACCAATGGCCACTTAACTTTAGTTTTAGTGTCACCGTGGCCATCGAACGGTATTTTGTTTCACCGTGGCTACTTAATTTCGGGAAATACATCAAAATAGTCTAAATAAAAGGAGGATTTTCCAAATTAGACTAAGAAATAAAAACATTTCCAAAATAACCTTTAAAAAATTATATTTCCTAAAATACCCCCTTATAGAGAAAATTGCAACCAAAGCCACTACAATGTATAAAAATCTTCAAATAGGTCCCCAAAGAAATATAGATCAAAATTCTTTAATAAATTTAGACCCAAATATTATACAAAATTTTATTGATCTAAAAAAGGCCACAGAAAATGAATTAAACTATTTGGAAGAAGATTTGAAAGACTTTTTTATAGAATATTTAGACCCAAAACTAAAAAATAAAAATGATTCCATAGATAATGAAGCAATCAAAATGGAAAAAGATATATATAAATTAATTCTTAATTTAAGAAGAAGAATTAAAAAATTAAATATAATTATTAAAGAAAAAATATTGGTAAAAAATAGTGAATTTTATAAATTCTATTGTGATATTTTAAATACTTATGAAAAATTTAATTGGCTCAAAAATATTAACCCCTCCGCTACACACTCCGATGAGATGGTATCAGAGCCATGTTACGAACCAAAAATTATGATGAATATAGTAGACGAAGAAAATATAATAGAAGAATTTTTGAAAAAAGTTGAAAAACATAAAAAACCTAGTTATCCTTATTTACCTAAGAATACTACAAATGAAAATTTTGGGGATATACATAAAAGATTAGAGAATCTAGAACATAATCTACAAATAGGAAATGCCCTATTAGATAAAAATCTTAGAGGAAAAGATAGGATTATTATTAATCCACCCCAAGATTTTAGGACAACACAAAAAGAAAATAATAAAGGAAAAAAGCATGAAGAAAAACAATATATGATTACAGATGTAGAAGAAATA